GTTTCCAATCTAGCCAGGCTCCAATAATATCGGAAGAAGAGAGAGCGCGATTAGTCGCAAATAAGCTTCGATATATCCTGTTACGTTCGTCCGTGTTATCGTCAAGCTCATTAACTTCAGGCTTTTCATTCGGTTCGTAAACCACGTGAGAGATAAACTGTGAAACAAAGTGGTTTATAACGATGGAAAAGTCGAGACTGAGAGAAAGAACGAGAGTAATTCTGCATAAAGGATGAAGTTTAAAAAGCGGCCGGTTAACTAGGAGAAGTTGAAGTAAGCGGACAACGTGGTTGAAAGAGGGTGACGCGTCAAAACATGAGACGCTTTCGCGAGACACCGTCTGTGATTCCCTTTTTCTCGAAGATGGCCGCGACGCGAGCAAAATCCCTGACCTTCTTTAATTAGGATAGCAACGACAAAGTTAACGGGCGAGAATTAACGAGGCCTGCGACCACGACGAACTCCGAGAAACGGGATCGAGGAACGTGGCGCGCAACGAGACCGTGTCTCGGATCACTCTATTAAAATTCTCTTCTATCAACGCTTCTCCTTCTGCTGCTCCCTCCTCCGCTCTCTTTTTCCTCGAAGAAAATTAATCGTCGTCTATGACATCGTAAAACGTGGCACGTAATTTGTCGGTCGTAACGATCGAAATGTCTCGTTGTCATTCGATATCGAATACTATCTATGTACTTTCGATAATTGTTCGTCATTACGATGATATCATAACGAAGGAACGTCGTCACCTCGTTTCCCGTTAACGAGCGTCGTTTTTTCGCTCGTTCGACCGTCATACATATTAATTTCGTTGGTGGACTAAATGTTCCCAGAATATCGTTTAATTAGCACGAAGAGCTTCGCACTTATTTTTAACAAAATTGATAAAAGTAATCGTTCCGCATCGAGTTTCATTGAAATTCCTGGATGATTAAGGGAGGCGACTTTGCTCGAGCGACCCTTGTGCACCGACCCGTTTACCCGGGACCGAGGCACTCGAAATTACCATGTTGATTCAACGATGGAACGTGCCTGGCATAAGACACTTTCGGATGATACACCGATTTACAGCGAATAAAACTTTATCGGTCAGTGTTGCGCGGCGAGAGAAATTGCGAGAGAGTCAGGGCAGGATCGATCGATGTTTTCTCCACGCAACTTATTTTTACTCGAAAGAGAGTTTACTTTTTCACACTTTGCTTTCGTCCACCTTCTGCTCTCGTATTCCTCTCGTAGAGGTAATAATATCGACGAGAATCAAGGTGATCGTTTTAAGCGGCTCGATCCGTGTATTTCTGTATCCCTCGTCGGTGTTATTCTTCGAAGAACGGTCAACCGCGATAATCGTATTTGCTGCATAATCGTAAAGGTGTAACGTCCTCTGTCCGGATCGTGGCGAGTCGAAGGGAACTTCCCCACTGAAAGGACGTCCCTTTTGCTTTCGTAACGTGCGCGTCACTGTTAAGACGTTGCTCTCTTTCTCGTTGGTTACGTAATCCTTCGAACACGCCAAAACATTACGAAACGGACACAGAATGAAAGTCCTCGAAATCTCTGTTTGCTTTCTTATTCGAAAATATTTTCGACTATCCTGAAAGTAAGTCTTACTTTCGCAGTGAAATTTGGTTTCGCAGTGTGAGATACAAGTTACGGTTTAACAGAACCTGCCTATTTGCTAACGTCTCGCGTTTTACTCTGTCGCGAACATGACAATTTGCGATTCTATGCTGGAACCATTGACCTCTCACCACGTACAGTGCAGCATTCGTAGAGACTTCCCGAGAAAGGTACGACGAGACTAATTAGCGTGCGCCGCAACATTAGGGACTTTAGGACTCGACACTCTGAACGATTTAACTGATTTACTATGGTACGCGACACCGATACAGCTAATTAAAATTTCCTCGTCTGGTATCCTTCGAAACAAACATTCGCGTTCGTGTAGATGCCGAGTAGATAGCGGTTTAACTACGGTAATTGAATTAGCGATGGTATCGCGTAATCAGCGAGTATCAGCCTTTTATCGCGCTAGCCACAGCGAAATAGCTTATTTCCTGTTGGAGATTTTCCGATTTCTCGCTCAGATAATAAAACAACCAATGTCTTGTTATCGACACGTTATCGCTTCTTACGATTGGCAACAGTCCCGTTTATCGAGGCATTCATAAGATTTTTTATTATTTTCGGCCCTCTGGATATTCGATCTAAAAAACAGTTTGTAACTTTGAAATGTTTGCGTGTGGTATCTTTGTGCCGATGTCCATTAAGAGAAAGAGTGTTAAAGTCAACGTTAAAATCTGAAGCTCGAGTATCTGATCGATTTGCTAATTGGATCATTAAACATAGTAAACTGTCGCGTTAAACTCGGTCGAAGCTACGTTTTCTCCATTGCATTTTTACCATCGCGATGGAGAAACGGACCCTTGACCGCGTGGTCGGTCCCATCGACTCTTCTTTCCGAGTAGAGCGTGTTACGCGGCCGATAGATTTGGATGGAATCCAATCTTTGATTAAGGAAAAGAGTCTCGATCCTCTGTGTGAATAGTTGTGTTTCACAGATGGACTGCTTCCAACGCCAAGGATGCTACAATGGATCGTGATTACGGAAGAAGCGGACCATCGGATGCACAATTCGATTTCACGTAGGAAATTGCGCGTGTGAGATGCATGCTCGCGATACACAGACGTTCCACTTTTAATTCGATCGATAATAAAAAAAGAAAAACGAGGAAAATATGTATCGAGTTAGGCCCTCGAGTTGGATTCGCTTTAATCAGCGTCGATCGTCGACAAACATCTTGAAAACGGTCGGCGTGTTTGATGTCTGCAACGATCGACATCTCGGCACACAATTGTATTCCTCTGTAATGTATTCAATGAACTCGTTTCGTGTTCCAATTACTCACCACCGTCGTACCGCCGTATCTACATTTGCACAGCTTTGGTCAACCTCTTGTGTTCGCTCTAATACCAATTAAATCCATTGCCAATTTTTTCGATGTAAAACTCGGTTTAAAGGTATCCAGGCTACGGAAAAAAGTGCGTAGAACTTTCTGAAACCTTCGGCAGTTCGAGAATACAAGTTTCGTGCAAGGACATCACGAAGAAACACCTTGCCGCCAGGCTTCAAGCGCTCCCTAACCAGAGGAAGGAATTTACGAGCTGGAGGAATGTAAATCGATCTTTCCGTCTACTATTCCGCTTACTTTAATTCGGTTTCAGATGCGGATCGGTTCATCACCGCGGATGAAGCCGTGTTTAATCCTCGAATAGACAAAGGCTCGATAAATCGTTCGAGGTTCGCGGTGATTTATTTCTCAATTTTGCGATCGGTGGCGCGCGTTCAGCGGTAATTTACGACGACTGGAAAAAGGAAAGCGGCGTTTACCGGGCGATTCGTACTCGAGGATACTTAACGAGACTCGATGATTTTCCGCCGTGAATCACGCGTGTCGTTAATCGCGCCAAGGAACATAATTAGCAACCCACATCCCGCCTTTGTTCGACGCGATCGGCGAACAGATGCTTAATTGCTTTTCTCTTCTTTGCGCTCTTAAACTACGCCGTGCTCTTTCGAGGAACGTTATTTTTTAATCGTGCGAGGCGTACTGAGAGAAACAAAAGCGACGAAATGTAAAACTCAAGGCAATCGTGATGCCGAGACAGCGATAAATTCGCCTACCAAACAAAACACTTAATTCCCGATTGCAAATGGGCAATGCTCGTTACGTAATTGGTAAGATGACGATAATTTCATAAAAGATAAACAAAATCAACGGTTGAACGCTTGGGAGCAAAGAGGGAATTCAACTTGTTGATGATACAGGCCACCGTGTTCCGAGGCAAACACTCGTGAAAGAGGCGGAGGGCAAAAATTGAAGGTAAAGTGTACGCGGTTTCCAACCGTTCCAACCACTTGGGGATTAAATCGAGTTCTACGTCGTGGATGTTCTCTCACCCTGTCCTCCGACACGATATTTTTGCTGACGATTGCGTACAAACACGAACACGGATTCTGCCGATGCTGTGGCGCGCTGCTGCTCTTGCAATTGCAGCCGCATACTCCAACTCGACCAACAACTGTTGGATATCGGCTTGACCTCGACAATGACTCACGGGTCATGGTACTGACCGTTTCTCTTTCACCTAGGACTTTCTTTTCGCTTCTTCTGCATAACGAACGATACTTATGCACGTCTCAGCCCCACGAAACTCTTCTATCGATCACGGCTACTCGACGTTGCAATCCAAGTATCCGTTGCATGTACGTACACGCTTCTATACGTATCCTAGGCCTTAGAGTCATTGACTCCGTGATAATTTTCAATGACCTTTATCTATTTTTATGGCGCAGAGCTCTATGGTTTACGAACGATGAGTGTTCCGACGAACGGAACGTCTGAAAACTGAAATGCGTATATTCGATTGCTTTCAAGTATAAACATCGTCGCAATACACATCCGCTATAACCATAACTTAACGCGCATCCTATTTCTATTCCATCCAATGGTAGGAGTTCTTAGGAACGCGTTGGATTCGAGAAGCTTTTAGGCTTGATCAATCGCTGCGAGTAGACGAATAAAAATACCGAAAGAGTAAACTTGAGCGCCATGGCCACGAGCAACGATTGTTCGTGAATCATTGTACGTGTTTGCTTTTCTAACTATAAATACGGATACATGGATCGTGACCTCGTTCTTTCCTTAATTCACACACTCGACCGACGCTCGGTCTCTCGCGACGCGTCAATGGTATCAATCAACCGAAGATTCTGCATTTCCGCAGAAAGCATTTGTGTACGAAAGGTTATAAATAACAACGATAAACAGTGGTTAACGTCACGCGAAATGCTCTTGAAATGAACAAAGTGAGACGATCCATAGAAGAAAGGTACTAAGCCCACGACTTCTGGTTCTCTCAATGTCAAGTCAGCTCATCTTGAAGAATTCCCTTTAACAGAACAGTTCACCAAAAAGAATTTTTGTGTAGATACAATCTGTGTTGTAAAGACGTTTTGAAATCTCATTAGCACCACCAGACAACCACATCACGATTATATCGATAAAGTTCGAAACCAGTCTGGAAATGTATACACGAGTTGTAAGACGTTTACCGCGAATATATATTCGATCGAAAATTAGAATGAATAGCCATCTATACGATAAACGTTAAAGACGGCACCACTGAATATCGAGGTGAGATATATACTCGCAGCAAATATCTCATACATCATCTACGTGCATTTTCAGATTCCTTCGAAACCTTACGAGTACAATCAAGATCATACAATGTTAATATAACACATACAGTACGTATAGTACATACGCAAGAGGTTCGTGTAAGTTTGCAAATATTTTCGTGAGTCACAGTATATGTTCGAGGCAATTATTCATAGTATACGCCAACGTTTTACTGAAAACGAGCGAGATATTTTCAATAAATGTCTTGCAACTTCCGTAAACCTTTCTAAATTCGTTTCCAACTTTACCGCTATAATCGCGATAGACGCGTTTCGTTACGTTACCAATGGAATTACAAAACGTTTCCTATAATACCGCATTACGGTATCTACAAGCGTTCCAATACCGTGCTACTTCTATATTACGTTTGTTTTCAATAAATTTCCATTTAAAAAAGAACAAATAAATATGCGTATATATGTTGCACTGGAATCGCTAAATCGAAATAGCCGACACACAACAAACTCTGTCCCCTCGCAGGTACAAAAACGTGCATAGAATGTCGAACGAATCGAGACCAATTAGCGGAATGGCAAAGAATGTTAAGCGCCGCGACACCATTCGTCGCCTCTCTATTCATGTGTTCTCCCCGTCCATGCACTCGCCGCTTTTCGCGCGATATTCCCTCTCCCACGTCACCGTTATTAGCGGCAGTCTGTTTTCTCCCTTTTAACGACTCCCGTCAATGTCAATGCCAGAAACACATACCACGAGATTCTCTCTTCGAGTTTGTTTACGATCGGAACGAGAGAGAGAGAGAGAGAGAAGTGGACAAAGGATGAAGAAGATGGATACATATGCCACTCTATTAACATAATTATTGCGAAAACCTTGGAGATACATACTATCCTGGCGTAAACTCGACGCAAATCGAGGCGGTTTGCCGACAGCGAGCGTGTCGTGGGCATCGATCGATGAATGGTGTTCTCGCGACCATAGTGGCGCTCGCCTCGAAAACCGTACATTTTTCACCGGAAACGGGTTAACTCTTTGACGGTGCAATAAGGCGATGAATAATTCAGAGCGAACGATTTAGAAGATAATTTGTCTTATTATTCTTAAGGTCTGCTGCGTTTCTCATATCAGATTTGTTCGACTTGTTAGAAATACGAATTTACTTTAGCGTTGAAGCACGTAAATTTTAAATATTTGTTTCATTTAACCCGTCGACGGTGTAATTAAATTACGAAGAATGCGAAACAATTTAGAAAATAATTATGTAACTCGCTATTCTTAACTCTGCCGCGGTCCTCGAGTTGTTTATGTCTTAATCTTACTTTAGCTTTAACCTTAGTTTCGATTTTGCACGAAACGAGAAATCACGCGTATAAATAACAGGTCTTTCGTGTTTTGCTCAAATTTAGGACAATTTTCTAGCGATGAACGTACGGTAGGCTTGAAAATGGCTCAAAAGAACCAGCGGCGCGTTAAAACGCGCTTTCCACCGAAATGGAAATACCGATCGTATAATAAGCAGATTGAGCGGATGGCGAGCTTGCTCCAGATATTCTGCAACGAGGTTTAAAGGAATTCGGCATTTATGAAGAGTAACGCGCGAGGAAGCGGACTCATCGACGTACGAAACGAGTTCGAAAGGATTGTATGAAATTCATGGGCGTGTTTTATGTTCCGAGATTAAGAGGTGGGGGACAAACGGACGAGAATTCGAGAACGTTTCGCGTTCGTGGTACAACAGCCTCTTAATCGAATAACAGGTGTTCGAAATGGCCTCACCAGGACTGGTTTACGTCGATACTTCGTATCGTCCGAATCTCGATGCACGCCAACTCTTGCGCATCTGTTTGACACGTAAAAAAAAAGAGGGGTTATAAATATAGTGGCTTCGCGTTCATTCCCGCTCCTAGGAGAAGTTAAAAGTTGCTCGGCGTATAATTCACGCGGTAGCTTTAAGTGGTGATATTTTAGAAACAGTACCCGGTATTTATTACGTTGCCATTTTGGAATTTTTCGCCTGAGATATGTCTATAAATACGTAGGCATTTATTTTCGAGTTACCATATGATGATTACAGGGAGAGGATGTAATAATTACAACTTTGCTGACTTCCTGATTTTTACGTTACTTAGTGGTGAAAAGAGGGCACTTTAATATACCGTGGCTAAAAAGACATAATTAAGAGGCGCAACCTACCCGGTCCGAAGATGCGAGCTGTTTAGCGATGGATATGAAGTTATACGAGAGGAATTAACGGCATACGGTAACGGATTTTCAAATTGTTTTCATATATATATATAGAAATAAACACAATTAACATAGAATTTTTCCAATGTACAGCACATAGCGCAACATTTTCGCACTCATGATTCCCTTCGCCGTGTTTTTTTGTTTTTCTATTCTATTTTCCTATTTCGATAGAAGATTCCTTTCCATTAGTCGCCGCGATACAGTACTCTTCGAGGAATTTTAACATATCATCGTCATTAAGATCTGCGTACGAAGTAAAAAAGCAAAGAAAAAAGAAGAAGAAAAACAACTATAGTAAACAACTTGGTAAGGAGCAGACAGTAGACGACAGGAAAAGACACGCCTACGACAATTAAAGGCTTAAACGCATCATTCTAATGTGACCATTAAAAGAGTTATACCACCATATTCTTTTCTTGTAATGATCGTTGAATCTAAGCGATTGCTCGTGCTATAAGAAACAAACAAGGGGGGAAAACAGAACATAGAAAAAAGAACAAGATAAAAGATTAGAGAAAAAGAGGAAGAGAGAGAGAGGGGGCGGGGGAGGGAGGAAGGGAAGAAGAAGGGGGACACAAGCAAATAAAATCCGCGTTAAGACAGTAAGCAAACGAACGGCGTTTGCCGTGTAAATGCGGCTTAAAGATCGACGCCGCACGAAACAAGCTCGCCCACTCTCATCGAGCGGAAAACTGCGCTATCATCCTTCTACACCACAATGATCTTGACAGTGACCGTAGCGATCAATGGCGCCGTCAATTAGGCGAATCGCATACTCGGGTTTATGGCTCGGTG